CTTAAATGTCCATGCCACCGTTAAACACAAAATAGAAGCTCTAAGACAGTTTAAAAGGAAAACCCTGGCAAATCTTCTTGTCAAATCTAATTATGTAAGAAACTCACATTTGAGAGTTTGAAACTTAACTCTAAAGATAGGGCTCCCCCACCCACATAATCAGGATGCAGAGCCTTTGCAGACACACACGCTAAGGTACTATCAGGACAGTCTGCTGGGAACAGACCTGACGACTCGAACTATCTTCTTGAACTATCTTCTTTTCGGGGCAACCATTTTCTGCAAATTACTCCATCCACTCAGTATGCCTTTCAAACAACTAAACACAACTAGATTCTGCATACCGAGTCACGAAGCAGTTAAGCACAGTTGTATCCCTTCACTCCCGCGCTGCATAAGCACAAGTTATTAAGGAGGATTGCATTTGCCATTTTGATTTTCTACCAGTACGTGCATGAGCCCCAAGTGAAAAATGAGGGCGTTGAGAACTACCTAGAAACACAAAAGACCGGAATAGCAGACAACAGGCAAATGTTTACTTACAGCATCAAGACCAAAACTACTTCCAGAACAGAGACTTGTTTGAATACCAGCACATAGTAACAAATGACAAGATGCAGAACAACTATTTTTATAATTACTTTAAATGTTAAAGGGAAAATAAAATGCAAGCATGCTAAACACTTTACATGCAATAATTTATCCTTTTCATCTTAAAAAGCCTCAAAGGGCACTGCCGAGACAATAATCACAAAATCTCTACTTGGCATCACAACACAGCAGAAAGGGATACCACTCCTACACTGCTCTGTATTCTGAAAAGACATTTGAAGCCATTCTGTTTTCTACTTCTCCACAGCAAGCAAAATATATTTTCAAGAAATAAACTCACAGGCTTGAAAACAAACCAGACTTAATCTATGCCCAATTAGAATACTCCCTGGTTAAAAACATCCTTAAGATACCTAATATTTTAACTTAGAATTAGTGTGAATAATAACATTATTTCATAGTGCACAAACAGGAACATGAGGTGTGCAAAGAGGAGACGCACATCATCCAACCACTCGAGACATCTCTCGACCCAAGTGCCTTCTCTGATGAACATCAGCAACGCCTTGGACTAGACGCTCCCACGGCCTGCGTTACAGAGCTCAGGCTGCGGCACACAAGCCAAGGACAGCAGGTGATCACAACACCCAGAGACAAAACGCAAACTCGCGCTCAAGGATGCCAGAAGTACTATTTCCCTAAACTGAAATAACCAGGGTAGAGAAAGTAATCATCCAAATTGAAACTTAATCATACACTAATTATGAAGTGCCATGCCATCTTTTAAAACTCATCAAGCTTCAATTTTCATCTGAAAAATCGTACTACATTAATTTCAACATACAAGTGAACAGATACTCTAAGAACAAAGTTGTTAGAAAATTTTTTAAAACTACTACCTCACAATTTGTTCTGCAAGTCCACAAGTGTTTTCATGTTAAAGCAGGTGAATTTAGTGTGAAATACTGTTTGGGGTTATGCCTTACAGAATAAGCTTAACAGTTTAAAAAACAAACAAAAACCCACCAAGCTGTTTCAGAAATCCAAGTAAGTATTGCTCTGCAGGTTGTCACCTTATCCCACTGGAAGACTCTCATAAAAAGCTCACCTTCTCACTACTAAGTTGCTGCATTTTTGCTTGATATCAATTACCAGTATAATATTTCTCCAATGACATGACTTACTTTCTAGCTACCAAGTCCTCCCACTTTAACAAAAGTGACCTAACAGTAACTACTCATACTGAATACTCTTTTGCTATTTCGAATTTACCTGAACTCCTACTATCTGTAAATTACCTGTTACGTACAGGATGACTCATGAACATTCTTCCGACAGCATTAAGTCTTGAACAAGCAACATTAGGGTAAGATTATGAGAAGCTTTCCACATTAAGAGCTTCTCAAAGCCTTTAAAATTAGATTGTTACAAGCACTAGCTGAAGGCTATTAAAAAAAAAAAAAAAGACCAGTAAGTCATACCATTTAAAATAAAAGATGCAGATCCTCCAACTATTAAAACCACCCCAAAACCAGACTGCTTTTTATCACCAAGCATTAGTTAAAATTAACTGACGTTGCATTACCTTCATTTTCATGTCCAAAGACATGGACACTGAGGCAGGGTAACACACCTGGGGCAGATCTAGCAGGCTAAACTGCAGCTCTCAGCTTGCCCATAGCCACGTTAAGTCACAGTTTTCACTTTATTCTAATTCTTAACTTTGTTTCACCCAGGTTAAGAATTCAGACACAGTGATGGCACATGCTATCAGGAAGTCCTTGAGACCTTCATGCATCGTCTAGTCAGCAGCAGGGCAAGGATCAGTGAATTGCACTTAGAACAAGTTAAGAAGCACTTTCAGGAACATCAGTACCACCACAGCCTAGTTTCCTACGCTGAAGGATATACACTGTTGTATGTGGGTTAAGGTTGAGCTCACATTGCAGTCTCTCTCACACTGGGAATATTAATATTGCTCAGATTCTGGCTGCCTTTATTTCCCCCCCCCCCGAGCCTGCTGTCTCAAGGATCTATAAGCTCTTGGAACAAATCTGGTTGAACCTGGTGGAGTCCAAGAGTCACCAGGAAGGGGAAAATGGTTATGGGGGGGGTGAGGACATGTAAGCAGTAGAAGTCAGTGTACCTTAGGAGGCCACACAGGAAACAACTTTTTTATTGTCCCTCAGTTTTATTCCCAAATTCCCTCATCCCCATACCCCCCACTCCCAAATCAATAAAGTTAACTCTTTCCAGTTCTGAAAAATAGCCCCATACCATCAAACCTTCCTTAATTGTCAATATAACAAAGAAGCCTCTGAAGCACCTACATTTACATGGGCCAACTACACCACTACCTCCAATTGCTCAATGTTCTAAGTAAGTAACATACTCAGAGACAACGTTTATTTATTTTGGATCAGTCTACAGTCAAGCGTAATAGCTGCTTTACCCATCTAAGTTTCATTTATACTAACTGTCCAAAATAAACAGTCACCAAAACTACAGCTTTGGTTTCCTTACCCTTATTTAAAGACCCTCCTAGGATGTTTTGTAAAGATTCATTCTCAGTTGAATTTAACTTCTTGAAGAAAGCTATGAAATGGGGTTTTAATCTTCATTTGACTGGGTGGAAACAGAATGAAATAGATTCTGAAAGAACACTATTATCAGATCAAGATCCACCTTGCCCTTCGCTCCTTCTGCCTGAATTGCAGTCAGTAACAAATACTTCAGGAAAGGATGCAAGAACACAAAGCCTTCAGGAAAGCATTAAGTAACCCCTCCCCTGCATCCAGACCACAGCCACAATCAACTGCTATGATGGACTTCCTTCTGGAGCCTTATATATACTACTGTCTAACAAGGAGTTCTACAATTTAAATAAGCATCAAATTAAATTTTTTCTTCTGCCCTAAATAGTGCATTTCATTATTTGCCACAACACTGGAACCAGGAAGCACCAGTGAAGCTGCTGAAGTCTTGGCCTTTCGTGCACTATGAATTTTAAGAGCTCTATCACATTTTCTCTCCACAGCTCTCATTTCTTTTCCAACCTGAAAAATACTGTTCCAACAAAGCTTTTCTACGTGGAAACCGTTTCACTGTAAAACCTGCTCTGCTACCTATCTCTCATTAACAACAAGGAAACTCATTACTATTTCTTCTCCTTATAAATATTGGGAATGAATCTATTCAATCTCTTAGAAAAACTATATTCAAACTTAATAAAACATAAATTTTATTTCCAGACTGAAGACGGATCATACTCAGATAAATAAACTGCAGAAAACCATATGAAAAGGAGAAATATTTCAGCAGCAACAGTAAGATCAAAAGGCAACTACATGTCCCATCAACACGTCTGTCAAACCACAGTTCAAACCAACATTTCTTGTTTTCTCTTGTATCACTAATAAAATTATCTCGCAAATAACTGAGCTATGCATATCTTCCACTATTCAGTACCTTCTTCCACTGTATTACAACTGAACAAGTCTACTCAAATTTCTGATCCTGATACAGGGTTAAGTGTATCTGAGAATTCAAAGTTACAAAAGTTCTTCTCCTTAAAAGCTGACTATGATAACCCAGAGCAAGTCAGTAGGTGTCATCTTCATCAAGGTTCATCTAATGTGATCTTCTACCCAATTTCAGAAACTGCAGTTTCATCAGCCCGTTATATGAAAACTTCTCATGAGCTATAATGACATCTGATCTTGTCCAAGAATGACCTGAATAAAATTACAGCGATGTTCAGCTCCACGGGGTTTGTGAATTCCCTCTCAAAAGTATTAAGATATCTTGAAAACACTTCAGAGCCTGAGAACAGCCCCTAAAAGAAGGCTGAAAGAATTGTTTCACACGTTTGAAGCTTTTTACGTACACATTGATAAAGATGTGCTAATTGAAAAAAATATATATATACGCCTTTGTGCAACTGAAGTTCAGAAAACTACTTTTTTCATCCAAATAATTAAATAAGGCAGGTTATAAGCTGTATCTGCACCTGCATGGTCGTAACCATGTACCCACAATAAATTAAAGCCAGCAACTTCAGAACAAAGTGTTCTATTATTACCAATTCATCATTCTTCAAAATACTGTATAAGAAAGCCCACAAATGCACTGAGCTCAGAACAAATTTTAGAAAATGACAATTATTATTCCATTCTATTCAAGGTGGACTAGCATACCACGCTGAATCCAAAGCACTGTATCTCAATCTGTAGACATAAGGTTTAGAGTGCCAAGGATCTTCGACCAAGATGTGAAATGTAGAACACTTCCGTGTGGTTTTAGTTAAAGAGCGTATCCTCTACAGCTTCTTACAATTGCCCCATGGTTTTATTAGAACCTTTAACCAGCCCCTGAAAACACAAAGTCTAAACGTAGATTAGTAAAAATCAGAGTAGAACAGAACTATCTGGACAGCTGAGTAAACGTACCTGCAGTTACAAGTTTAGCACTGCTGCCTTTGCATTCTCCATCTTCCACGTTTTTGCTCGTGCTCTTTTCTTTTAAGAGAGGAACAGTATTATCAGAGGTGCACTTGCTGGATGCAACATTTTCCCCACTGTCTGGCTGATTAATTCTGCTGTTCGCTTCAAGTAGAGGAGTGAAGTCCTCAGACTGAGCAGCTTCACCGGGTTCCAGCTGAGAGGAGCTTTTAGCCTGTGACACATTCTTTGAAGACACAGGAAGAGATTCTTCATCGCTGTCAAATCCAAATGGATCCTCTGTTACCTCATCTTCAACTTTTGGTTTTTTAGGAACTTCGGAAATATCTGGTTTGACACTGGGCCTCTTCTGTCCTAATTTGGCCATGAAGGTGGTTTCTCCCCATTTTGTACTAAGGGTGGTCCGTTTGTTGGAAAATACTTCGTCAAACTTGGAACTGCCGTTTCCCCCTTTCCGGCTGTAGGTCTTTCCAAATCGGGATGTCATTTTGGCTCCTGTTTCATATTCTCTGTTGGAAAAGAAACAAGAAACATAAATTCACCAACTTTTTAGTACAAATGACTACTTCCATCCTTTATTGGGCATGCAAGCACCAGGCCCGTATATTTCACAGGAGCAACAGATACATCATCTGCTTCTTTCTACACACTAACTCATTTACATGTGAATGGCATTATGTCAAAAGTCTCTGCAGTAAATCATCTATATACCAACTTAACTCAAAATTCAGTTCACTGCGCATTTAGAAAACAACGGCACAATGGATCCTTAAGAAAAACCTGCTATGAATACATTTTTGGTATTGCTTTGCTCTAGTTTTATACTTTCAAGTATAGATGGCACTGCTTTCGTGAAGCATCAGCACAACACTAAACAGTATTTTCAGCACATCTGAACATGCAGCACTCTGCTAGAGACCAATAACACAGTATGCCTTTAAAAAGGCTCTCTGTAGTTAACTAAAAAGAACTGTCAGCGTATTTCAAGTTGCTATAGATATTTTAAATACTAATTTACCACAAATAACAATGACAGCTTCGCCCCGTGTTCCTCTGACACACTCAGCCCGACTTGGCAAGCACATTACTTTGTAATACGATGGGCTTTATCCCACCTGCACAGTCACGGTGGCGACGGGCACACTGCAGTCCCCCACGAGTAAAGCTCAATGACCAAGGGACAGGAACAAAGAGACACTACTCAACCCATTGCTAAGAACACAGAGGACACCTTATGCAGACCAGTAAAACCAGGAGCGTTTACTGGCTGTTACAACTGCAGCCCCATTCTCAGTTTGCTCTCGCAGAATAAACTTTAAATATGAACAGCTTAAACAGGAACGCATTTAAACAGTTCTCTGCATGTGTGCGCTTCCTACTTTTGTCTCACTCAAGAAAAAAGACAGACCACTTTGGGTTTTTTTTTTCCAAAACAAATACTTCAACTACTGGACAAATGACAACATAAAAACAAAACGATCATATCTGGTTTGTAAACCAGCTTTTTTTTTTTTTTTTTTTTTTTGCCCAAACAGGAGTAGGAAATTGGAATTCTTTATAGTCAGTCTGAATCTAATCAAGTCCATCTTTCTTTCTGAAGTTACTCTCCATACTGGAGAAAAGTCTGTTAAAAAGGGGGGGATTTATTTTAGCTAGAGATTCAAAGAAATCCAACTTCTAAAGCATCTACTGCCTTCACATACAGTAAAGTACATGAAAAATAGCACTTATAATCATCATTAGTAAAATTATCCCATGATCTATTAGTTCAAGACAACTGCTTTCATTATTATTCCCCTGAATGTGTGGTATATTGTCTGTCTTCCATATTTTCATTTTCATCTCAACACTCAGTTTCTCAACCTGAAGTGCCAGACTAGCTTCTGCCAAAATCACCAGACTGGTTTCCAGAAACGTCGTTCTATCCCTTCGCTCTAGCAAGACTGTCTCACTAATAACAGTCTCCCTTTATCAGACCAGGCCAACCTTCACTTATCAAGCAAACTGAGAAATTCACTGGGTCATCTATGTTTGAGCAAATTTTAAGTGAATGACAAGTCTCAAAGTTGGTAAGTTTACCAGACAGATGGTGTTGCACTGCAGAAGAGCTACAGGAACAACCACTTGGAGAACACTCTTCTCCCCAGCACTCTAGCAGATGGGTGGTTAAGGCATGTGCTTATCCACTGACCAGGATTCTGCTGTGGAACACCAATCTGCAGACTGTTTCTTGTAGATCCTAGTAGATGTTACTCTAACCCCATCTCCATCCTCTTCCCTCCTCCCCAGTGTCATCAGCCTACTCTGTGCTGCTCCAAACACATCGTTGCCAAAGTTTTCTTTTTTTTTCCTCCACTGTAAGTAGCTCTAATTTCCTATTTTCCATCTGAGAGTGAAGCTAAAACTTCCCCACATACTTTAGAAAATGAAGAGCAAAACAGATCCACTTACTAGTTTTATTTTGCTGATGCCTGAAAACACTTCCAACAGTAACCAAAATATTTTATACCATAAAAATCAGTTTTTAGAGCTATAGAAACTAAAGTGAAATATGCATTAACCTCTTAATTTCTACACAACTCTTGCAGGAAAAAAAAAAAAAAATCACCACCAGCACATTTTCCTCCCCTAAACCCTGACTCAAATAAGTATTTCCAACACCACATTTCCAGCTTCCGCAAAACTAACGGCAGATTTAAATTATGACTTGTGGTTTGCAGTTTTAAAGAAAAGATTCCTGTAATCAAGGGGACTTCATTTTCAGCAAGCAGAGCTCCTCAATCTACATTTCGGTATTTGCAAGTTTAAAAATTACGATTCTCGTAAGGAGTTTTGAATCAAAATGTCAAAACTGAAATATTCAGTATGAAGTAAACAGGTCAAAAGATGAGTATCAGGAAAATACAACTCTGCTACGCGATGGACTTGTATCTTAGACCGAGATGAAAGAGAAGGAAATACACATGCGCCTCCTGACATGGAGACATCAACAGAAGGATTTTTCTACTTTACTTACAATTCTCTCTTGCTTTTCACTCAGTGTGAAATACAAAACTCGGCAAATTTCTCTCTGTTTCCACTCCCTGCCTCTCTCTCCTGCAATGCGTTGCAATATTTGGAGCAGTGCAAGAAACGTAAATACAAACAAAAACCCAAAATGTATTTCTCCCTCATTTCCCTGAGGTAACTCGGCGGATCAGCTACACGGAAAAAACCCGACAATTCCCCAGAAAGCCCGTCAACCGCCCCTACTCGTTGCTCCTCTCTACACCGTTCCTCTTACATAATCAAATGAAAGAAAAATAGGTTAAATGCACGGAGGCAGAAGAAGCTGATGAAATCCCACGGTGACAGTTTCTTTTTCTCTCCCTCCCCCTGCGGCGGGGGGGGTGCTAGCGGAACCGGGTCACCCCACCGTGCCCCTCAGAACCCTGACAGCCACCAGTGCCTCCCAGCACCTTCTCCTTTGCCTCTTCCCCATTCCTCTGTGTCTCAGCCTAGTCACTATTTGTCTCTCAAGTCCTCTGCAGCTTCCTACAGCACTTCCTTCCTTGCCTTTTGTCCAGGTGGGAAGGGATGGGGGAGAAGAGGATGTCCTGCTGCTCTTGCTGCACTCACAGCTGCTGCAGTGCTTTCATCTCCCAATTAGTGCCACTTAAAATGCTAAACATTTCAGTGTGCTTTGCTTTTTCTTTGCAAAATGTCAGTCTCCTCCTGTTCCTGTCCTTCAAGTGTCATGCGGCTCGCGGGGGTGAGAGCACTCGGGGCTTTGCCACTTTGCTTCACTGGGACTAGAATTTCCCCCTTGCTATTTGCATAGCAAAGATGAAGCGGGGGTAAAGAGACACATTAAGTAACTAATTACCATGCTTTACTCAACCTCTCTGAAACAGCTCTGAAAATAGTCATTTATACATTAGTATCGCTACTAATGCATGTTGGGGGAAGTTCAGCAATGCCACGGGAGGCGACATGGGAGGGGGCGAGCACAGCTGGCTGGCACCGAGAGCTGCAGCAGCTGGCTCGGAGCTGAGCCTAACGGCGGAACGTCCAGCAGTGGGGAGGCAGGGGAGATCTGCAACCCGCTGTGTAGGGAAGGGTGGCTTCCGCCAAGACTATGGCTTTTCTCAGTGAGTTATTTCCAATGGATAGCGTACTGCTCATTTCTGACCCTGAACCCTGAAAAGAAAGACTGAAAGGCATTCAAATAGGGGGTCTTTATCACACGGTTTCGGATCATACTTTTCAGTATTTGCATCATATCGTAGCTGTTTCCTCATCTGAGGTGGTCAAACCAAGGCATTAAGTTTAGTAACTGAAAGGTTAAAACAAGCACCACTGGACAGAACAAAGGAGGCACTTGTGGGCGTGCAGCAAAGGGCCAGTTC